CCCCCCCCCCCCCCCATCTTTTCCTCTGGAATTAAAACTCTTGGTGTTGCGGTTTGTAAGTGTTGGGGGGACCGGCCTGCCTAAAAAAGCCAAGGAAAAGCAAAGTTTGATGTCAGGAAGGGGAAGGAAGGTGAGGGACGCCTGAAGGGATGAGGAAGGAGGCGGTAGGGTTAGGGTCACTTTCCTATGCTGGGATGGCTCGGGCTCCTTGCAGTCGTGTCTCAGGGCAGCCTGGCCACAAAGCACTGGGTGACTGCTGGGATGAATTGAATGCCATATACTATAAAGCGAGCCAGGGACCTGTGAAGCCCTCCCTCCAAAGTGTTTGGTCACACTTGCCTTTAGACCAGCGGTTCCCAAACTCTGACCACCACCAATTTAAAAAGATACAACCTTAAGTACCACCAGCACATTTTTGTCATATAAAGAAATGTATAATCTGTTAACACGTACCACTGGTGGTACCCGTATCACAAATTGGGAACCACTGCTTTAGACCGACCTGGCTACAACCTCTATCTGTTGGTCACAAGAGGAAGACTTCATTTCATTAGAAGGATATAAGCCAACAGCAGTGATTTTATTTAAATAAATCAAAAGCAAGGCCCAGTTCAGGGAGGTGTGTCAGCATATCCTCAAATCTAACTTTCTCCCAACTGCATAGCTGGCCCAATAAAAAAAAATATCACCCTGAGAGATCCTTGCTTCTCACATATCTTAAATGAAATGCCTTCCTGAAATTGAAGTTCAAAATCTTAATACTTGTGTTAAGTGGTTCTGGGTGTGTGCTACATGGGTAATTTGCACCTGGCAAGTTAATGATCTGGCCTTATTTGCAGCTCTCACCACTGAGTTAGCTAGCTGTACACTACTGAGTTCTCCAAGTATAGCTGCATCAGTCAAAGGTATGAAGAATAGGCATCTTAAACTGACATAGTTGTCAACAGAAATCTCTAGTGTAGATGCACTTTTACCAGTTGGGCGCCTTTCATATACAGTAGGTGGTTTTACTGTAGTGGTACAGAGTGCAGCTTTGCCGGTAAAGCTGCATTCCCATTAGAAGTGCTTTGCTGGTAGAATATGCTAGTAGCCCTATAGCCTTCCTAATGCAGACATGGCTTCAGTCTCTAATATGAAGTACTGGCAAGCTTGCAAAAACATTTATTGCATTGTTAAACCTGTGAATTTATTTCGCCAGCAGAGAACACACTGCGTGTGATAGAGCTGAGAACTCAGTGCACTTTAAAAGTTCGCATACAGCGTTTCATTCCAACTCAGATTTTATCCATCAGCAGACTAAAACTCAAAATGAAAAATCTCTCATGGTCATCCTGTTATGTCCCTGTTCAGAAAAACTGTTGTTAACTTTAATCATGCAAGTAATTTAGTTGAAGTCAATGCGACTCCTCACTTTGAGAAGTTAAGTTCCTACCTGTTCTTCACCTAAAGAGCAGAAGTTCCCTTAGGAAATTTTCATCCTACCAGTAGGCTATCAGTTAAATGTTTGAAAGTAATGCATTATTAGCTAAACAGTTCTTCTGAGAGGGCAGCAGCCTCTTCCTCAACTGATGAATAGTCTGTGGTTTCTAAGCATTGTATTTATTACTGGCATATAGATTTTTAATGAAAGAAACCTAATTTCTGTAGCATCACATTGATGTGTTCTCTCTGCTGTTGAAACTTCATGAAAAGAAATGACACTTGAATGTGGTGAGAGGCTATGATTCTTTTTGAATCCCCAAACAATCTGTCTGCAGACACAAGTGGAGAAAGGACCTGTTTTTGGTCATCCCTGTACAAAATGCAGAATTTATTGCCAGAATTGGCATCAGTATTTGCATGTGTCATGACTTCCTTTTTTGCTCCCTCTGTGCTTGGATGGTGTCTTGGAGCATGTTAGCTACAGTAGAGTTAATATTTGGAAGGAGAAGGGGAGGTCTTGATCCAGGCCTGAGTTTTTTTTTTTCCAAATGCCCACTGAATCTGAGGGCTAAACACAACTTTTGAGAATAAATAGAAACAATACCTGGGGTATAATTTATTCCAAAACTGAATGCCTTTTAAATTTAGAGGATTCTGGTAGGTAACAGAAAACTGTGATTAATCTATTATGTAATTTATATATTGGTTTTAATATTTTTTTATGGGTAGGCATAACTTGACTACTGAGTTTCACCCTTAGATTTGCTGCAAATCCGATTTTACCTTGTGCATCTGTATGAATGTAGCTGTAAGCTTTTAAAATAAGTGATACTAAAAGATGGAAGCGTTGCTGAATTTAACTCCCCCAAAGATAACTCACTGTGTTGTGTGCAGGTATATTTACATGTTTCACGTGGCTGCAATTCGTGTTTATTTAGTTGGTTTATTTTATCAGTCAGTTAAAATACGTGGTCTGAAACATAGTGAACATCTGTTTGGTATTCAGTGCATACTTGTCTGATACAGAAATATTTTTTAAAATTTTTTCTTTAAGCCATAAATACCCTTTTGATTCCCAGGGTTGCACTGAAAAAATTAAAGCATAACAATGTTTTAAAAAATATTCTGTTTCCGTGGTCCTTCATATAAAACAAACTGCAAGTGAAACGAATGAAAACCTTGTGTGCTGAGGTTGAAGGAGTAATATAAAAAAAATCACAAGCTGGCACTCCTCTCCCCACCCCCCAAATCATGACAATGGCTTTAAAATCATGATGGTACTCACTTGGTTCTTTTACTTTACCGGGATTTCTTGAGCCTGCAGAGTTCATCTTCTAGTCTAAAACATTTTGTAGCCCTGAGGTCTGAAGTTTCAAGTGAAAGCTGAGGTTTTTAGATGACTGTGAAGTGAGACTTTTAGCAAGAACACCAACTCTTGTGGGACTAATGATTAAAATTGTGTGTTAGCCTTGCTGAGGGCAACAGTACTGCCAAGGAAGATGCGTAGTAATGTGATTTTTGTGTATTCAGTGTTAGAGAGGCCCTGGGTGAGGTGCTATATGTGTGTTTTGGTCGGTAGACTTGAGGGTGCTTATGGGCAAGTAGGAATAGGTTTTGCCATCCATGCTTACAAACGACAGGGTATTTATACCTTTAGAAGCACCTTTTAGGTGTGAGTTCTAATAAATCGGTACATGGGTTACAGTGTGAAATACTCTGCAACTGACACAAAACCTTCTTGAAATTAGCAGATGTCATGTCATCCCTCTGAATTACTAAATTAAGATGCTGCCCTGAAACAGACCCTGCTGTCATTCAGCTACCAAGAAGCTGGCCCAAAGTTTATGTTCAGTAGCAATGACTGGAGCTAGAACAGAGCAGCAAATGTTATCAGGGGGTGACTGGGCAAGGGGTATTAAGAAGGTGACAGGAAGGAGATCTGTTGAATCAGTATATATAAAAGCAATGCACTGGGGTGAATTTTACCCAGTGCTGAGAGCCTGTTGAAAGACAGCGTACATGCTAAGGGTTTTGGTGATGAACAGAGACTTCCATGAGCCTGGTGCTCGTTTCCCCTGTTAGAACGATGATGATGATGCCATGAACGCTGCTTAGAGTTTCTCCCTTTTGCATGGCATCAGATCCCAACTTCCAGATCTATAAGCCACTGTCTGGTATTATCAGTCAATGTGCGGATTCTATCTGCCCCATCTGGGCATCTGTAACGATACAGTTAGAAGTTCCAGTGATGCTGTATTCTCTGAGGTTTCCTTGATTGAATTCTAGTTCCATAATTTGAATGAATGTGTTTGTTTTCCAGGTGCTTTTTAATTTTCATATATATATTTACAGATCTGGTTATTATTTCATAATTATTGGTTTTTAGTGCTCTCACACCCTTGGCTTTATAGTGGAATTACCACCAGAGTAAAGCCGGGTAGCCATGCCATTGGAGCTGGTTTCCCTGATCGTGGGAAAACTTGTGCTCTTAGAAAACCATGTGTTTCAGAACACTGGAGAATGTGGTGATGAGTGGGCTATTGAGGAAGCAATGGTTTATTATAAGCCAAGCAACAGTTGTCGGTGTTCATGTGATAAGAGCATCATTTTTGAGCAGTTTGAAATGAAATGGTTCCTCTGTCCGACTGCTCCTGATCCTGGAAGAATGTAGCTGAGCTTCCTAAAGTGTGCTGATCAATGGGAGTATTGAAAGGAAAGTCTAAATACAGCTTCATGTGTTCAGAGACCTGAACTGGTCACAGACATGAAGGGAAAAGACTTTCAAAAGATGTCTGTACTTGGGAGCCTTTTGGTGTAAGTGTGCCCATACATTATAACCACAAAGTGTGCTTAGTGCAGATGCAGATTACACAGGCAAACCTGTGCTTTCGGGGGAATACTTTATCCCACACCTTGCACTACAAGTGAAATAAGCTGTACTGGCAAGTGCAGTTTGGCTTTTGGAACTTCC